TCAACGGGAATTAATAGCGGGTGTCGATTTATTTATGCAATTATGGGCCGAGCTCATGTACCCAATGCGCCAATAGCCTACACCAAACATTGTGTTATGCTGATCGACGTCATAGCACATCGGCAGTAGCCACGAGTTCTCAGTCTTCCCCAAAGATGCCTTCGTTTTCATTCAATCATTATCCTCTTGTGTCATTATATGCCACACAGAGCTCGCAGTCTAATCATCCAATCCGTTCTGTCCTGTGTAGTCAGTTGTTCGGTATCATGGGTGGAATCCATTCCAGCAGCTGTGGCCTCTCTCATCAACGTTCCTCAGGGTTTCCTCTGGGCGTCCTCGCTTCCTTAATCTCTTTATTTCCAATTTTAATCCCTGTCTGGTTTCTTTGCAGGCTGTGTCCAATGTAGCGCCATCTTCGTCCTATAGCTATTGATACATTTCTCTTATTTCTTCACTCTTTTTGAATTCACCTTATTTTATTTTCATCATTTTCCTCAGACATTCGTTTTCTAATCCATTTAACTTTTTTTCCATGTCTTTAGTGGTCATACTTCATATACATACTTTTGGGGGTGAGCAGATTTCGTTTTTTTTTTTTAGACGATAGTGTTATCCTGTGCAGTAGGGAGATATTTGAATCACAGTCCGAGATGGTGGCGAATGCGACTAGCAAGACCACTCACGTTAAGAAAGAAAAACACATATCTTTCACAGTTATAGCATGATATTCTATGACCACTATTGCCATCTCATGTATGTGCTTTTTCTCAGACTCTTAGCTCTTAATTTATCTGCAGTCACTTTAAAAAAAATCACTATTCCTTCCTGATTCCACGCAAAGTGGTCCATGGTATCCTCTTCCCACAAATCAGCCTCGGTACCTGTATCATTCATTTCTGGCTTGCACACATCTTTATATCATTCATCACCATGTAGCAGATCCTTTACAAAACGTCGCTCTCATCACAGTCTGCCTAAAAGAAACTCGGTCTCTCGCCAGCTCTCCCGCTTCATGTACTTTCATACTTAAGTAGTCACCTATTTCTTGTGCCCATCTTCGTGTTGGTTGGCTCCTGCCCCATCTTTCTAGTACCATGTCTTCTGCTTTTTTTTCCAAATCCGTCATGGCGCTTGATATGACCAACATATTTCAGCTTTCAAGACAGGGTGCTGTTTATTAGCCACTCTTCCTTGATGTTCAGATTTTTCTAGATGTCAGTATTTCTCCTCTTCTTTGTCCAAGATATTCTGAGAATCTTTCTATAGAATTTCAGCTCAAAAGCCCCTATCCTCTTTTTCGAGGACTGAGAGATAGTCCACGACTCAAATGCGTTTGCTGCTGCAGGGAAGATGCATGCTCTAAAAATTCTAATTTTAATCTCCTTGCTGGTGCTTAACCATAGACCTTTAATGCTGTTTAATCTTTGCATTGCTTTATATCATTAGGATGACCAAAATATCCTGAGCAGAAAACGGGACATTCCAATAATATTTTAAATTAACACGAGACAATAATTCTCATCAACACATTTCAGGCATAAAAAGTATCTATGACTTTGCAATCTAAAAATGTCAACAGAAAGTACTAAATGCTTTATTCTCGAGCTTGTTCTTAGACGTTTGAAAAACTGAACAGTTAGGGCGGACGGAACGGCTGGGACACAACCATTAAACGGTCTGTCCTGGTAAAAACTAGATATATCGTAGTAAAGACGGACCTCGATATCGTCTACTCATCAGTGATTCACCAAAGATAAGTTTGGGTTCTATCCCAATATCTCCCACCTCCCACCCCCCAAACAGACAGTCGAATATTTTAAGGGATAGAAGATAGGCTGCTTGCAGTCGTGGTACCTAGGCTGCATGCAGTCATGGGACCTAGGCTGAACCCTCTCATGGGACGTAGGTGGGTTAGGGTTGGGCCCAGTTCTAGATGCTTTGAGGTAGTTAAAAGCACCAGAAAGCCGGGAAACCTGCTCTTACCACCCTAAAAAATATCGGCCTGTCCCGTGACGTAACCCTGGGGGATTGGGGGGAGGGGGAGGGGAAGGGGGAGATATCGGTAAAGCACCGACGTTTGTCATGCTACATCCTTCAAGTGTCCCCTAACTTTTTGAGCCTTTGTTGTCAAAAAAACTAATAAAACTGTTGTAATACTTGTTCTTTTCAGTACATCAGAATTTGTGATTTTTTTCTTCTTATCCCTCAATGCTAAGTTAAAGTACTTTTTCCACGCTTTCACGCGCGTTGGGCATACATTGCTAGACCTATAGTTTATAGGCCAGTCGGCATTCGGTCTGTGCGTGTTGTGGTCAACATCACACCGGCCGTCTTTACTTCCCAGGACTTTACCTAGTACACATTTAAGGCTGGTCGACCTGAGGTCACTTTTGACAGAAAAGAAAAATTTGAATGTCAGGTACTTACGTATTTACTATAGTCATTAATCAACAATTATGTGTATCTAGTTTTAAATGTTTACTTTCATTAGTCACTTGCCATGGACCCGGCCTTAACTCCAGACATGGTGGCCGACATTCTGACTCGGCGTTTCATGGAAGCAACTCCACACAGTCGGTCCTGGTACCGGAGCAACGCCATCAGAAGCCTCACTGGCGCCAAGAAGCATATTTCCCAGACTGCTTTTGACTTGGAAGACGTACGTGTTGTCTTGTCTTTGTGTAAACTTATAGAGGTGCAGGTGATTGGGGATCATCTCTCAGAGCCCTTGTTAGCTGGGGGTCATACCTGATAGCAGTTCTGGATGTGGGGAATTATCTCAGAGCTGTGTTCTAGCTGGGATAGTATCTCAGACCATTGGTGGGTTGGTGTCAGTTCTCAGTGTTAGGTTGGGAACTGTATTTGTGGACATTGCTGGGTTGAGGATCGTATTTCAAGGCAGTGATTTGTTGGGATCTTACCTCAGAACAGTGTTGGGATTATATCTCAGAGCAGTGTTCGTTTGGGGATTGTATTTGAGAACATTTCTGGGTTGAGGCTCGTATTTCAGAGCAGTGATTGGTTGGGATTCTTTTTTTAGAGCAGTGTTGCGATCATAGGGTCATACATCAGAGCAGAGTGGGTTTGGGGATTGTATTTGAGGGCATTTCTGGGCTGAGGTTTTTTTAAGAGTAATGCAAAGTTGGGATCATATCTCAGGGAGGTTTTCGGATGAGAATCGTATCTCAGAGCAGTGAGGGTTTGGAAAAATATCTCAGAGCAGTGTTGGGTCAGGATCGATTCTCAATTCTCCCAGCCCCCCCCCCCCCCCCCCCCCCAACCCCAATCGAATGTGGGCTATACTAAGTAACTATCCGAACAAAATAATCTTTCGACAAACTTTTTCTGCAACACATACAAACCACGACTGCTTTACCATTGTAGATGAAACGGTTATCTGTGTGTGACTTGGAGGAGGGACACCCAACGCTCAGAGCCTCCAAGAGTGAAACAGATCCGAGCCATGGCGGGAAGCTTGCTGTTGTGGAATTTACAAGTGCTGCAGTGGCCGTGTTGGAGAATCAGGGGACAGTTCGGCTTGGCATCAAGAGAACGGGTCGACTTAATATACCAGTCGCTGTCAAGTAATTTATCATGTTGAATGTTTTGTCACTTTATATGTTGCCTTTACTAAGTTGATAATTTTATGTGGAATTCCATAGTGCCCCATAAATTTCCAGAGAGATTCCCTATCAGTGCTGTCAAATGCTTTTTCATAGTCCAATGTAAAGTGGTGAGTTCAGTTCAATGCTTTGCTCTATTATATATAATACGTAATGTGGTTATCTGGTCAGTACAGGATTTGTTTGACCGAAAACCTGCCTGTTCATCTCTTAGCTTTTTATCAATAGCATCTTTTAATCTTTCTAAAATAATTCTACTTAATATTTTTCCAGGAACTGACAGCAACATAATTCCTCTATAGTTTTCACACTCCTGTAGATCACCTTTTTTGGGCAGTTTCATAAGATATCCTTCTCTCCAGTCTGCTGGTATTTCTTCGGTCTCCCGGACTTTACCAAATAATCTATGTAGCAATTCCGTTGATGTGTTTATGTTGGCCCTGATGGCTTCAGCTAGGATACCATCTGAGCCTGCCACCTTTCCTTCCTTGAGAAGATTGATAGCTTTTCTAATTTCCTCTTTGGATGGTATCTCACAGTTGATATCCAGTTCCATTTCTAAAGGCTGGATATCTGGGGAAACCTCTGGACCTGGTCTATTTATTTCAAAATACTCAACTCATCTGTCCATTTGATCTTTAGTGTTAGTAAGTACCTTTCCTTGACTATTTTTGACTGATCCAGTTGGCTGACTATATTTACCTACTAATTTTCTTGTCTTACTATAAAGTTCTCTGAGGTTTCTTTTTGCTGCTGCTGTCTCCGCTTCTTGTGCTAGATCATTTAGATATTTCACTTTATCTGCAATTTTATGCCTCCTAACTTCCTTATTGGCTTCTGGGTATTTCTCCTGAGCTCTAGCTTTAGCAGCTCTAGTTTTGCTATTGTTTAAGTCTGCCTTTTTACTTTTACTATCTTCAGCCAGTTTAATGGTTTCTGGTGTTATCCACGCTTTATGTTTCCTTTATTTCTTGCCAAGAACTTCTACGCAAAATTCATTCCAGATTCCTTTGATCTGATCCCAGCAGACTTCTGAGCTGACATCTTCAGCTAACTGCAGGCAACACCTGGTACTCATTAGAGACTGTAACTGAGAACTGTTCATTAACTTCTTTATTTCTGAGATAACCTACATTATATTAGTTTCTATGATTATAAGATGTTATATATCTTTTTAGTTTCAAATTGATTTTACTTACCACCAAGAAATGGTTAGTAAATACATCGGCACCTCTGAAAGCCCTAACATCCTTAAAAGATGATCTAAACTTTTTGTTAATATACATAGGTGATCAATTTGATTAGTTGTCTTATGGTCTGGTGATTCCCATGTTGCTTTTTATGTTCTTTTATGGGGAAAAATACTTCCACCAATAACATACTAGTTTCCTGCACAACAATTTGTGAACAATTCTCCATTTTCATTCATTACTCCTAGACCATACACCATACCATACAAAGCATACATGGAAAGAGAAGAAGGACGTAGAGCACGGGGTAGACCAAGAACAATATGGAAGGATAACGTCAGAGAAACTCTACAACAGCACGATGTGCCTATGGTCGAGGCAGCCAGAAGAGCTAGAAACAGAACCTTATATCTCCCTCGACACCCACAGCGTTAAAAGAGGAAGTGAAGAAGAAGAACTCCTAGACCATGTCTTCCCATAATTTCTTCATAACCTGTGTTGTCTGATCCTATCTTAGCATTCAGGTCACCCATCACAATTTTTAAATTGCCCTTTCTTTCATTATTTATAATATTTTGAAGCTGCATGTAAAATTCTTTCTTAACAGATGCATCTTTATCATTTGTTGGTGCGTAACACTGTATTACCGACATGTTCACCTTCTGTTTCACTGTTCTAAAAGATGCTCTTATCATTCTGGGACTCACAGCTTCCCATTCTATTAGTGCCCTGTCTGCTTCTTTCGATAGCATTAGGGTCACTCCTTTTATGTGGGGCGAATTTTCCTCTGTGTGTCCTGAGAACAAACTAGTTTCCCCTGAATTTAGAATACTTTTCCCCGCCTCAGTCCATCTAGTTTCACATAACCCTAAAATACTAATTCTATAATGTTTCATTTCCTTTGCTACTTCCATTGTTCTCCCTATATCATAGAGAGTTCTAACATTCCAGGTGCCAATTCTGGAGGTTTTCCTAGCTGAGAGGAGGTACGTCAACGACCCGGACTCCTTAGGGTTTTCTCCACACCGTGTCATACTTCTTCTATTTGAAGAGCCTCCCCCCATCTTGGTTGACTGTATTTTACTTGCTTCTCTTTTTGACTTATCCATGGTTGCTTGATTTTTGAGGCTATGGTTTTTACAGGATGAGGTAGCCAACCTCAAGCCCAACCCTACCCTTAGTCGCCTCTTACGACATGCCTGGTAGGGTGCAGTGTCACTATTCTTTGCTTCCCGTGATTGCCCTGATGACACACGGGTGAAATACTAAACTAAAAATCTTTAATTCTAATGCCAAATCAGTACTTTTGTAGGGGCGGAAACATGGAGAACAACAAAGGCAATTACTAATAAATTACAGACATTCATTAACCGGTGCCCGCGCAGAATATAGGAAATTAAATGGTATGATAGAATAGCTAATGTAGAGCTTTGGGAGAGAACTAAACAGGCTCCAGTGAACCAAGAGGTAAGAAAAAACGCTGGCGTTGGATAGGACACACACTGAGAAAACAGGAGAACAGCATAAATAGAATGTCTTTGCATTGGAACCCACAGGGGCATAGGAATAAAGGAAGGCCGAAAAACACATGGAGAAGAGAGCTGGAGAATGAAGTTAGAAAGATGGGGAGGACATGGGGAGAGCTCCATGCAATGGCGAAGGATATAGCGGCGTGAGTTGGTAGAGGGCCTATGTTCCATTTGGGGAATAGAAAAGCAGAAGAAGAAAAAGAAGAAGAAGAAGAAGAAGAAGACGAAGAAGAATGTTGTCACTTTTTCCAAATTTTATATTCTTTGTGAAAGAAAGAAGTGACCCCCACCCCCGCCCCCCCCCCTCCCAAAAAACCCCCCCATAGAATTCATTAACATACAACATATGATATGACTTGTTCAGCTCAAGAGAATGATTTCATAGCATATGTGGACACAATAAGTCATCCTCCTACTTTCCCAGAATACGTGAAATAAAACTTTCCATCTTACAGTAGTAACATGTGTTAAATGATATCTGTCCTCTTTACATCCACGGCTTATGTGAAATAATAACTATCCGCCCTACTGCTGTAGCATGTATGAAATAATAAATGCAATTTACACCCCAACAACCTTATCATGTGTGTAAACACGGTTCACACCCTCACAGCCTCAGCATATATGAAAACAGCAATCCACTCCACAACAACGGCAGCATATGTTAAAAAAAAAAAAAAAACCAGCAATACTCATCCTAACGACCTCAGCCTATGCGTATACAGCAGCGCACACACACCCTCATACTCACAGTTTGTTAAGACAGCATTTTCATCCCTACAGTCATACCTTGATGCATTGCACCTAGTACTCAATTCGAACACATTCAGTTGTCAGAAATTATAATGCAGAGTACTTTTGCCTTCAACAGAGCAACAACAATCAATGGAACCGCCACGTCTGTTAATGACTATAAGCCCTTTGATGATGTGATTGAGTTTAAAGAGAACGAGACGGTGAAGCATATACAAATTGAAATCATTGACGATAACATCTGGGAGCCGGACGAATTCTTCTTTGTGAAGTTGAAAGTGGTGTCTAACACAGAGGCATGTGTCCTTGGCTCAATCAGCATCTGCGAGGTCACAATTATTAATGACGATGGTAAGATATATTTTCTTATTTTAGTCCCTGATGTGTTGTATTTGTCAACATATCTATTCATAACTTTCCGAGTTGTCCTCGTCTTTGCCCTTTATTCTCTTGTGGAGCTTGGGTCTTTAACCAGCTCACGCCTGGTCGGCCTATCTTTTAGGCCTTTTTGTACCATGAGGATTCCAATGCAGAAAAAATTATAGTTATAGTATGATAAGTCGTACCCCGCCCCCACCCCCACTCCTCCCTCCCTACTACCCTGTTTTATGTGTTTCTAAATCGACACCAGCATCTTTTCCTCGCCTCTCGCATATTGACATGATATTTGTGTGTGTGTGGGGGGGATTGGGGGGGGGGGGGGGGGGTAAGGCGCTTAGCTCTTTTTTCACATTTTCTAGAGGAAGATTTGAGGAGGGGCTAATGCCCCCTAAAAGCTCACTTTTAGAACACACTTTTATATCTCCCTGTGGCATACGAGGCACTATTTTAGGGAAAACGAGAATAGACCCAACTAAAAGCATGTCCTAAGAGTCGACAGTTGGGAGCTTTTTTCGAAAATGGAGTGCATCTGCCTGAGAGGCAAGAACCAGAAGTCTGCACACAAAAAAGTCAGATCTGAAAACGAATGCATATTCAGGTAAGTAAAGTAAAGTAAAGATCCCGTTTCACGCCTTTTGGCGCATCGGGCATATGGGCAGAGCGTCCAGAAGTTGACGAAAAATCAGAACTTTCCGCCGGAGTTTACAGCTGGTTAATGCGAAGAAGAAGTAGAGCAAGAAGAAGAAGAGGAAGAAGAAGAAGAAGAGCAAGGAGAGGAAGAGCAAGGAGAAGAAGAAGAAGAAGAAGAAGAAGAAGAAGAAGAAGAAGAAGAAGAAGAAGAAGAAGAAGAAGAAGAAGAAGAAGAAGAAGAAGAAGAAGAAGAAGAAGAAGAAGAAGAAGAAGACCATAATTTCTTTGGCTCTTATAATCTATAAAATGATCCTTTCTCTCCGCGTGAAGAGCCTGGCGTGCTGGAGTTTTGTAAACCTAGCTTCTTGACCAAAGAAACCGATGACACAATGATGATTCCTGTTGTCCGCAAGAATGGAGCCGATGGCCGTGTGACAGTCAAGTGGGTCACCAAGGACATTACTGCGGTTGAAGGGCGGGACTACCTGGGCAAAGGAGGCGTGCTTACTTTTGATGACCAGGAGATCAATAAAAACATCGTTGTTCGTTGCATCCCAAGCCATGTAAGTGGGCAGTAAATGAAGTGTTGTGCTTTTCTCATAGTTGGTTGCTCGGTTAGTTGCATTTTTTTCTTTGTTTATTTATATTTATACTATTTAAAAAAAAAAAAAAAAGAAAAAAAAAAAAAAAAAAAAAAGAAACGCATAGTTATCCGACAGCTCGTTTTTATTAGTTTGTAAATAAAATATAGTACTGGGGTACTTCCCGTCACTTTAAGGACGAAATTTTTCATTACTTGAAGCCCTACTCTGGCTCTTGCCAGGGGCCGCAATATAGCCTGGTCATAAATATGGCCTAAAGGCTGACGCGGTTTCTGGGACCTCTCCACGGTGATCCTCACCAACATGGTGGCACATTGTGTCATCGGGTGTTTATCGCTTGTGTGATGTTCTGGTGGGGTAGAAAGTCAGACAGTCAGTCAGTACTGGGGTATGTGAAAGGCAGTCTCAGATGTTGTTACCGTGTCCGGTGGTCATGTGGGCGTGAATTGCGTGAGTTTTTATAACCGTTTTTTTACGTAGTGGTAAGTAATGTTTGAGACCATATTTGTGAGCATAGATCATAATGCCCCACGAGAAAGCAACCCAATTTGGGATTAACAATTCATCCTAAGCAATTGAAACCCTATTAAAGGATAACGCTACGCCAAAACACTCAGTTCATTTTCGAGCAGTCACGAATGGCGCCTCTATCGATAAATTTAAGCAATCTTGCTATTGACCGATTGCAGGCAGGAGAAAGTCAAAGTTAGGTTGCCAGGTATCTAAACGTGCATCAGAGTACCAGCAGTCGACTTTAGCACCGGTTCTAAATAATCGGTTCAATTAAAGATAGACATGCAGTTTACTATAGCAGTAGCCGGGAATAGCTTTATTCGGCTTGTTTACCTCAGAGACAAGTTTACAACAGCTTCATCAACTGCGCCGGCTTTGCCTCTAAAGGGACTGAATGTTCGAAAGAGACTGAATGATGCTGGACGTTGGACCACGTTTGACCAAACCGAGAATCCACCCTTACACGTCGCCACTGCCAAAATCGACCTCTAAGTGTTGTTTAATGTCGAATTTAAGAATCGACATCACAGCACTTGGGACACCCCCATAAGCGCTCCTTCTCCATCGTCAGTCGCAAGCGAAAAGTCCCAGTTCCGATGGCACAAGTAAATGTCTTATTGTAAATCCGTCTCGCCTTTTCCCTGAGTGTTGAGCGCCGGCTTGATCCACTTGTAACCCTCGCAGCGCCATGCTCCCCAGACCGTTATGATCTATATGTGTCTCGGCACTGTTCACTCGCTCCCAAAGAGCTTTCACAACATTCAGCTTGTTATACATCAGTTCACCATCAAGCAGTACAGAACCGGTCAGTCTCTCTGCCTGCTAATTTCCCATCACATAGGTAAAACCTGGAGAAAATATCCAAAGGATGCTAACTACCCGGGACCTCTGAAGGGATGCTTGCCACTCTGCACGGAGCATGCCTGTCTCCACCTTTCTCAATATGCTCTGTGAGTTACACTCACAGCATGTGTTTACAGGTGATCTCAAGGCAGCAGTGTCTGTTTCCAATCCGTTTTCAAATTAGACTTTGTGATATCACATGCCAGGCTTTTCTGCACTAAGCGACGTCCACTCGCTTTTGCCACCTGGGCAGGCTTTGTCATGAATAATTTGTTGAACCTCTGATTCTGCAACTCCAGCTGGCCAGTCCCTGCAATTACGACTCAAGATAAGAACCCTACACAAATCTGAAACTTGCTCGGACTCTTTGATCCACTCCTCTCATCGTTTGAATAAATCGAGCCTGCACACATGTCCAGTCGTGTCTTCTTCAGCTTGTGCCATCCAAGACCTTCCTCTTTTCAGTCTGTGACCCTTAGCTTTACACAGGGGGTGCTTCCTGTCTGCAGCTACTCTGATATGACTTTGCTTGCAGAATTTTGAGCTGATCAGTATTAGTAAGCAGTGCAAGTATATATTTCATACCTACTGCTGCGGTATCTTTTGTACATCCCAAAATTACCCGCATTGCTTCATTCTGTACGCGTTCAATTTTCATCATTGGCTCTTTGATGTGGTAAGCATTTCAAGTCCATAATCTATCACTGACAGGATCACATGTAGGGTGATAATCCTGAAACCGCTGAGTCTGGAATGATCTTTGCCTGGTTTTGGAAGGGGTATTAGGTAGCTATATACAAATCTGGGGTAGCGGGGTAGGGTTCACCATACCAAAAGAAGATGCAAAGCGTCTCCTTCCGTCCGCTAGCCTGCGGGATACTTCCTGGGCAGGGTAGAGTAATTGCTTAGCGCCCCGATCAGGGTTACATGAAGTCATGGCAGACAGGTAATGGATAAACGTGGTGAACAGCTATGATGTTTTCAGCACTGGTCATCACTTTAACAGAGCTAGGCAGATGATACCTCTGTAGGCACACTGACTGGGAAAACCCGCCCAGTATGGGCACTGCTCCCACAGAAAGAAATTTCAATCTACTGTGAGTATTTTGCAAAGAGAAGTCCTTTCTGTACAACAATCGATAAACGTAAACGAAGGTAAGGAGAGTTCAAGGACTGCCGCGTTCTGTCGGGACATGCATGTGCTACAGGTACAACCAGACCGTCTTCCGGCAACTGTACGCAAACCAAAGAGCGAGACATTAATCCTTGGAACATGGAAAGTGAGAACACTTATGCAAATAGGTAAACTGGAAAACATCAAGATTGGAAAAAATAATGAACGTAAACATCCTGGGATTGTGTGAAACAAAACATATTGAAGCAGGGGAATATATTCAGATAACTATCGAATAATTTACCCAGGTGGACAAAAACATAATTTTGGACCCAAAAAAAAAGAGAGCAAAAAAACAGTCAACGAATCCATGACTATATCAGAACGAATATTAGTCACATTAGTTTGTAAAATAGTAGATGCGAATATTATGCAGACCAAGCCCAAGGGCAGACAGTTCGGAAAAGAAAGCAGTAATTTTTATAAACAACTGAACATTGCCTTAGCAAAATTGTTAAACAAGGGAAACAATGTTACTACTTCTTTAATACAAAGGTTGAACAAGAAAAGGGTGAAGACATTACATGTAGATATGGTCTTAGGGAGAGAAATGAGACAGGAGAAAAACTGGTTGAATGGGCTAGGACACATACAATGATGTTGGAAATACTGACTTTAAACATCATCCTAGACGCCTGTAGAATTGAAAAAGCCCTGGAATAAATTTTCGCAACCAGATTGATTATATACTTATAAACAGTTGATTCAGAAACAGCTTACGGTCAGTAAAAATAAGCACTGTAATAGTGACCAAGTGCCAATCATTGGAAAACTTAGGATAAAGATGAAAAAAGGGCTCCAAGAAATACCAAGCTAGACATGGCAATGCTTGAATCAAATTAAGAAAAGACAAAGGGATGCACCACTATTGTTCAAAACATATACAATGCTATTGAAAGGATAAGCAGTATAGATAAAAAATGGCAAATGCTAGGAGAGTCATTATAACAGACATCAAAAGAAATATTACCAGAAGTAAAGAAGGCAGCAAGAACAAATGGATGACAGAGACAGTTTTACATCTGATGAAAATTATAAGAGAAAAAAAAAAAAAAAAACACACAACCAAGATGGATATAAAAGAATACATATAGAGATTGTACATAAATAAATGCAATGAAACGAAAGAAGTATGGCTAAATTATAAGTGTAAAGAAATTGAAGAACAAAGAGAGAACACACAAGACATGTATAAAAGAATTAAAGTTGGAATTGGAAGCTGCGGAAATATGGTTTTTTAGACGAATGATGAGAATACCCTAGACAGATAAAAAGAGTAATGAAGATGTCTTGAAAGAAACTGACTTGCGAAAAGAACTGATTGCCCATATTTAAAAAAAAAAGACACTACATTATTTGGTCATGTGACGAGAAGGAAACACTGGAGTACGTCGTGACAGTAGGGAAGTTGTAGGAGAGGAGGGGCAGGGGGAGACCGAGAGAACAGATGCTGGACAGTTTGACAACATGACATAAAAGATCATCTGTATCAGAGTGGATGGAAAGTACACAAGACAGAAGGTTGTGGATAGACATGACTACAAACGCCACACGGTATGGACTCTAAAAAGAAGAAAATGTACCCAATCCTGTGGTACTGAAGCTGTTCTGATGCTCTGGTTGAAGTAAAAAAGCCACCTCTCTGAAGTCTTTATCACTAATACTCTTCATAAGGGCATATCTGACTCCGTCTGGCCCCGGCGCAGAGTCTTTTGTTTTTTGCAATATATATATATATATATATTCTTCTTCTTCTTTCGTTCGCCTGAAATAAGTTGTCTATATCAGCAGTTTTGTCTCTTGTATAAATTTCAGTGTCGTTGTTAGTTCATTCACTGGTCCATAGAGTTTACGTTCCACTGTTGTTCTTTCTGGCCAAAAGGTTTGCCTTAATGTGTCAAAGTCTGTGCAGTCCTGGAGTACATGCTCTGCTATCTGGGGCACATTTCCCCAGGTGCACATGACTGATACACCTATCTTGAATTTTGTATACAAAATTACGTAATCCTTACGTAATCGGTTGTGCCCTATTCTGAGGCGGAGGGTAATGACTTGTTCTGGTCTGTCCATAATAAAATAGTCGTCTTGTGCTGGGGCTGGTGGTTTCCTGATCGATTTAATGATTTTTTTCTTTTGGTGGTATGTGACTGGTACATCCGGCTGCTCTTTTGTCGCATCTTCCCCTGCCAGTTGATCAGCTTTCTCATTTCCAGGCACTCCACAATGAGACGGTATCCACTGCATTACGACTTTTCGCTGAAAGCTGAGTTGTGTCAGCAGTGTTTGCAATTCTTGTAGTTTCCTAGACTGGAGTGCTTCAAGTACTGATTTAGCATCTGTCAGCATTACCACATACTGTGAGCCAAGGTTGGTGTTTAGCAGTTTCTCTGTAGCTATCTTGATAGCCTGGGTTTCTGCATCATAGTTATGGCAGTACTTCCCGGTCGGTACGCTGGACTTATCCTTAGTACCATCTGGGAATTCGATGTACACTCCAGCGCCACCATTTATAACTGCACTTTCTGCGGACCCATCTGTATAGACTGTGACCCATTGTTCTTGTGGGTATTCTTCATCAATATAACTGAGGGTGGCAATTCTGCGCCGTACACTATCTTGCTCTTTCTTGTCAAATATCCCTTTCACATTTGTCTGGATTTGTACCGTTAGTTTACATTTTTCTCTCCATGGGGTTTGTTCCGGAATACTTTTAAGTGGGCAACCAATTTCTGGAAGGTCAGGAGTTTGTCTACATATTCTTTTTGCTTGGTGTATAAAGCTGCTTCTTTTTAACCATCCCAAGGCTAGGTTCTTAAATCTATTTTCCATCGGGTGATCTGGCACACTGAGGAACTTTTCAGCTTGTATTTGCAACTTTGTATCTCTGCGTTCTCTCAGTTCCTGTGTTTTCCCAGCTTTCTCCATTTCTAATATGGGGGTTGATTTCACCCCTCCTGTGATGACTCTGAGTGCTTGATTTTGCACTTTGTCTAACTCCTTTAATGTGGTACTAGCTGCTGAACACCATGCAGTTGACCCATATTCCAAGTGTGGAAGTATGCTCTGCTTGTATACTTTATTGAGTATTTTCCCATCGGCTCCCCATGTGGTTCCACTTAGTTTTCTTAGTATTGCTGTCTTCCTCCTGGCTTTGGTTACTGCTTTGTTGATATGTTTTCTCCATGTCAACCTGTCATCAAATGTGACTCCTAGGTATGTTGGCTCTTTATCATCTCTCAGGGGTATTCCGTTTATTTTGATGGTGCCGGCTTTTGCTTTGGGGGAGAGGGTGAATAGTGTTGATGCTGACACACCATCTATTGGCCCATGCCTCAAGTGCATTTGTAGCCCGCTGTAGTGTTTTTGTGGCTATTGTTGCATGTTCATTGGTGCACCACAGTACCAGGTCGTCGGCATACATTGCCATTTTGATTCCATTTGGTATCTAAGCAACCAGATCTTTGATGAATAAGAGGAAAAGTGTGGGCGACAGGACACCACCTTGAGGGACGCCTTGTCGCAGTAGAACTTTTTTACTTTTAAAACCATCTACCTGTACCCGGGCTCTTCTGTTATGTAGATATATATGTATAATTTCCTTTACCCTAATGATATCTTCAAAAGGATTATTATTTATAGTATTATACAGCTTATCTCTAACTGAATTTATAAGCTGCCTATCATTCTGATCAGTTTGGGCTATAAATCTCTTTTAAAAATGCTTCTCTTTTCTCTTTGTCTGTTGTTATTGGTATATCATTATCAGTGTATATAGTGCCTGTTGTGATAGGCCGATTCATCCTTTGCATTTGTGAAGTTTCCAAAACCTACCCATTGATTTGTCCCCTTCAATTTCGCTCATAAAATGTTCCCATTTAGCCTTTTTTGCATCTGCTGCACTCCGCTTGAACTCGTCTACCTTTTCTTTTCTAACTCTGTCTAGCTTCTCTGCATCCTCTTGTAACCTGTGAGGTGCCTTTCACAACTTCTGTAATTGCTTAACTGCTGCTTGCTTTACTCTCTTTGCCTCTTTTACTTCTTTGGTCCACAATGGAGGCTGCACAAAAGCAGTGATTGTTTTGCTACATACTTTCTGTCGGAGGCGTCCAAGAAGGGTACAGTCCCTCTCATACTTGAAAGTCTTGCGTTCTCACAGCCCTGATTCTTGCTTGGCTTAGGAATTGTGACTGCACATGGCATATGGTGACTCCCATGATCGCCTAGGACACTCCATTTTGTGTCCAGCACTGCTGAGGTCAAATCGACCTCTTTGGGCAACCAACGTCGTCCTGGGGCAGGTGGCAATCAGTGGAGACGTGTCTGGTTCAGTGACGGTTCTCTCTTTTTGTTGTAGCCTCATGATAGACAATGTAGGGTCTACCGTAGGTGAAATGAACGTTTAGCCAAAAATTGTGTTGATGAAGCTCTGCTGCACGGTGGTGGAGGTGAAATGGTGCAGATGAAATTATCAGTTACAAGGAGTGAGTTAGTGTACATTGAAGGAAGCTTGAATGCGCAACGATACGTCAGTGAAATTCTTCGACCACATGTTCTTCCATTTTTGGATCCCAACAGATATCTTTTTTTGCATGGTTGACCACTCAGTTCCTGGCTGCCAATAACATTCAAACCCTCCCCTGTCCATCCATGTCTGCAGAAATGAGTCGGATTGAGTACCTGGGGGAATATTTGCAAAGACACGTTTGTGGCCGAGGCGTTGCTCCAGCCAATGGTCGTGATCTGTTCCAGGCACTCAGTAAAAGGTCCCACAGGTCCTCAACAGGAATATGGTCGCATCCATGCCCAGGAGATGCCAAGTCAATGATCCACGCAAAACGAGGCCACACACCATACTAACGGAAAAGGCCCTAATCCTAAATGGTCGTGACCCACATTAAAAAAAAAAAAATGTGTCTCTTAATTAGTAGAACACTAAAGTTTCTTGTGTAAAATTTGAGTAATTTTACTTATTGCATTACAAAAATGCAGAATATCGAAATTGTGAGTATATATGTTCTTTTCAGTAGCTATACGTTTCTTCTTTTTTTTTAAAATAACAGAATAGTTTTCTGTTTAGTTATTTGCTTTCTGTTTTATTTATTTGATAAATTGTTTATTTATTTAGTTATACGGTTGATTCTTTATTATTATTATTTTTTAGGGGAAGAGAGGAGTGGGTTATTTATTTAGTTTGTTTTACACATTTGTTTGTTTGGTTGATTGATTATTTGTTTAGTTTCTCTATTTGTTTGGTTGGTTGTTTGATTAGCTGTTTATCTACATTTTTCTTTATATTTATGTAAGAGAAACATAGGCAAACTTACATACTGCAACAGAAAAAAACACGCTCAAGATCCTTACCATCCCCTAAAACACTTAGCTAAGTAACCAAAACCAGCAGAAGGAGAAGAAGCATAAGAAAAAAAAAAGAACAACAAGCACAGTAAGATATAGAAGAAAAAAATGGAGGAGGGGGAAGGGGGAGGAAGGATGGCGATGACCAGAAAGGAGAAAGTAAAGTAGTTGGAGGAAGAGACGTAGAAAAATAAAAGAAGAAGAAAAAAGAAGAAAAAGAAGAAGAAGAAGAAGAAGAAATGCACACATATGCATAGTTTTGTAGTATAGCTAGATAGAGGTATAAATGCATACAATATCTGTCTAACATGCAAGAAGAAGAAGATGAAGCAGAAGAAGAAGAAGAAGAAGAAGAAGAAGAAGAAGAAGAAGAAGAAGAAGAAGAAGAAGAAGAAGAAGAAGAAGAAGAAGAAGAAGAAGAAGAAGAAGAAGAAGAAGAAGAAGAAGAAGAAGAAGAAGAAGAAGAAGAAGAAGGAGAAGAAGAAGAAGAAGAAGAAGAAGATGAAAAAGAAAAAGAAGAAGAAGAAATACACACATGCTTCGTCTTGTAGTCTAGCCCGCAGAAATGTAAATGCATAAACTATCTGCCTAACATACAAGAAGAAGAAAAAAAAGAAGAGAAATAATAATAATAATAATAATAATAATAATAATAATAATAATAATAATAATAATAATAATAATAATAATAATAATAGGAAGAAGAAGAAGAAGAAAGAAGAAGAAGAAGAAGAAGAAGAAGAAGAAGAAGAAGAAGAAGAAGAAGGAGGAGGAGGAGAAGGAGAAGAAGAAGAAGAAAAAGAAGAAGAAGAAGATGATGATGATGATGATGATGATGATGATGATAATGAAAAAGAAGGAAAATAAGAAGAAGAAGAAGAAGGGGGAGGAGAAAAAGAGGAAGAAGAAGAAGAAGAAGAAGAAGAAGAAGAAGAAGAAGAAGAAGAAGAAGAAGAAGAAGAAGAAGAAGAAGAAGAAGAAGAAGAAGAAGAAGAAGAAGAAGAAGAAGAAGAAGAAGAAGAAGAAGAAGAAGAAGAAGAAGACGACGACGAAGAAGACAAAGAAGAAGAAGAAGAAAAAGAAGAAAAAACACACACATATGCATCGTTTTGTGGTATAACTGGTCAGAAGTATTAATGCATAAACTATCTGTCTAAGATGCAAGCTGGAGACAGGAGATTCACAAACAGTCAAGATAGATTTTGTTGAAGTTTGTTATGTTTCCCTACAGAAAGCAGAGCGTGATGACAGTTTCCAGGTTGAGCTAAAAGACCCTACTGGCGGTGCTATCCTTGGGAAAATCCACAAAACTATTGTTACAATTGTTACTGACGAAGGTAACTGTCATTTATATGTTAGTTCACATGAGCAGCGATGCATGGTAAAGTTTTTTTTTTCTTTCTTTTTATAGCCTATGCCACATACAGTACATCACGATGTAACAAACACAAACAAATCGTGAATGTTGCGGAGCAACATGGAGTCTTCTTCAGCACATACATAGATTAGACAATACTACACATCCACAATATCACTTCATCTTCGTATCTCGTGGCAGCCAGGTTGATGTCAAGACAATAGTCTGGCGAGGCACGTGGGGCTGGGAAAATTAATATCCGGAGATATCCCAGGGGCAGTCACTCGAGGATATGAGGAAACTGTGTGGGCAGTTCAGCCACCTAAGATTTAGATGAAGCTGTTCTGGCAGTTTTTTCCACTAGGTGCCAGAGTTCCCAAAGTGTATATAAGGCGATTTTCAAGAGACTTGCGAACTCTGTCACATGAGTGGCTACATGTTTATATAATTCACGGGAGGCTAATGCAGAGATCGAGCACTGAGAGTGAAATACCTGTTAGATGAGTTTTAATTATGTGAATGAGATCATGACTTTTCATGATGTATCCTCTTCACTATTGAAAATAATTGTGAAGGACGGTTTATCGCATACGTTACATCTAAAACACGAGTAACGTGACGTTTTGCAAAGTTCCTGTCAGTCTATACTGTGAACTTGCTAACTGTACGCTTTTATCCAGTATCTGTTTTCTCATATACCGCAAAGAAGGCAAACTAAAAACTAGATTTTTGTCCACAATTTAATTATCATCCTACAGGGGCAACGACTAACAGGTTGCATGTCAAACTTCAACAGTTTATACTAAACTGTTACCGAGTTATACATTTTTTGAAAGCTGGACAAGACTTTTGGAAGGGACTATAAGTGAACGCACAAACAGCTGACAGATGCTCTGATTCTGACTAGTTTGCCATGTCCAGTAAAGAACATGCTCATCCCACCAATTATAATCCGCGCCCCTTCTCGTCTTTGAAAGTGCTATTATTATGCAGATTATTTGTTGATGATTTTTTATTCTTTTTTTCATTTTTAACGTTTTTAAGGCTTTGGTTCGGTTCTGCTTACCTTGAACATTATCCTTCCCTCCTCCTGTCCCATCCATTTCTTACACTAAGTAATTATTCTACATTGCTTTAAACGTTACTTTAACGCCTTCTCTCCCTAAGCACGCTTTTTCTGACCCAAACATTTGTTACTAAAGGTAACATCTCTCTAGAAGTGTATAGCACTGAAGAGTTAACTGCCCGAACTGTCTCCATTCACAGAATTCAGCGGACTCGTCAGTCGCATTGTCAACATGTCGAAGGCCACCCAGGAAGCGCTGGAGCTACCGTCAACCACTTTCTCCCAGCAGTTTGTGGAAGCCATGAATGTTAACGGAGGAGACTTAGAGAATGCAACGTTCATGTCTTATGTACTTCATTTCCTGTCTTTTTTCTGGAAGGTACGTATACCAACCAATAATTAACTATAAATATGTATGTGCTGTGAGCATCGTCATCAGTTCTCTTTATGCCTAGTGGCACAGGAGGCTTCAGAGAGGACTTTCCAGGCTTTCCTGTCTTGTGCAATCTTCAGTGCTGTTTTCCATGTCAGAAATGCCGCATTCAGGTCACTCACCATCGTTCGTCTCCATGTTGTTTTTGGGCGCCCCTTCTTTCTCTTTCCCTCTGGTGTCCATGTGAGAGCTGTTTTGGCAGGTATATCAGGATTCATTCTCATAACGTGGCCAAGCCATTTCCATCTTCTCTTAGTTATCATACTGTCTTGTGATGAGAGCAGGTAAGTATTTAGTCACTGTGCTACCTTGAATAAGAAGAATTACCGTACTAAATAAGATTCACACGCACACACACACACACACACACACACACACACACACACACACATATATATATATATATATATATATATATATATATATATATATATATATATATATATATATATATATATATATATATATATAGGATGGGCTGTCCTGATAAAGTAAAGACAGCCGGCGTAATTCTGACCACATTACCAACAGAGTGCTGATGGTCTGTAAAAAATATGGGACGCTCTGCCCATATGCCCCGATGCGCCGAAAGGCGTGAAAAGGGAACTTTACTTTACTATATATATATATATATATATATATATATATATATATATATATATATATATATAATATATATATATATATATATATATATATATATATATATATATATATATATATATACATATAGCTATATTTATACATATATATTAATCTTCTTATTCAAGGTAGGTAGCACAGTATTAGACACTTGTCTGCTATCATCAAGGGTTTGAGATCGAACGCCGATAAAGAAAATCATTTATACTGGCTCCAAGTTCGACCCAGCGTAAACTAGCTACCAGAAAATGCCTTTGGAAGTAACAATGACCAGCGTGCTTTTAACAATCCCCCACTTGGTGCTGTGTGGACTTCAAAAACAAATATGATTAAAAAGATAAAGGTAAAGTGGGGAGATATGAACCAGCGTCATTGCACACGGGTATAAACCATAAGTGCTCTGCCACTAGTACGGACAGCTGATAATAAATTGTCCGCCTGTGTCGTAGCTACAGCGACGTTCCTCTGTACCCATTTCCTAAAGGCTGGGTGAACCCCGGGAACCGCCCGGTTTCGAACACCGCCTGTGGGCTGAAGCGAGTCGCAGTAGGATTTGAAAGCGAGTCTCCTATCGACTGCGCTAACGCGGCCGCCTAACAATATTATGATTCTAGCATCATATGCAGACGTGTCACTGGCTTGATAATGGCCCTTTAGTTTTATTATTCTAATTTGTTATTTTACATCTTTTTTCTTCTTCCCCATACTCCTCCCCCTTCTGTAGTTTAGAGTATCCGCGACGCCTATGGTTGCTAGGAGGAAGGGCGTGTCTAGCAAAAACCATGCCACAGCTGGCGACGCTTCGCTTAGAGGATGGACTCTCGGTTTATTAACTGGAGTATTATTAACATATTTGACTTATTAAGTGCGGGTTCTGGTGGTCAGTGGTGGGAATCAAGATATAAAGTGCTAAACTTTTATAAAGGGGAAAATTAACATCAGTAAATTGAAGTGGAGTCATAGGGGGAGGGGGGCTGTTGCGTGGTGGTTCCGGGGGTGGGGTGGTGGTGGGGGTCAGTGTTGGGGGTATGTCTTGTATACAGTAAAGTAGGCATGATCGCCCGAGCTAGTGAGTGTGACACTTACCGCCAGTGATTTCTCGTATAGATTCCTAGTGTTGAGCTAGGGAGAGAACTTAACGAGTTTCCTGGAACCAAGAGGTAACGATGCCAGCGTTGGATAACACACTTTGAGAATCCAGAGAACAATATAACTAGGAAGACTTTGTACTGGAAACCACAGGTACATGGAAATACAGGCAGACCCACACACACACACAAAGAGAGAGAAGGGAGCTTGAGAGTGAAATTAAAAGGATGGGGAGAACATGGGGTGAGCTGTATGAAATAGCAAAGGATAGAACGACTTGGCGTGTGTTGATTGTGGACCTAGGCACCATTGATTTAAACGTTTTCCACAGTTTTCTTTCGCCTTTATCCCACCAACCCACATCTGTGGCGGCTGGGTGACCTTCATCGTTTCTCTGTCCGTCATTGGGCTCCTGACCGCTGTCATCGGAGACCTTGCCAGCATCTTCGGATGCCTCATTGGCCTAGAGGACTCCATCACCGCCATCACCCTGGTTGCCATGGGCACCAGCATGCCTGATACGTTTGCCAGCAAGACGGCGGCCATTATGGAGAAGACTGCAGACAGTTCCATCGGGAATGTCAACGGAAGTAATTCGGTGAACGTGTTCTTGGGCCTTGGGTTGCCATGGATGCTTGCCTCAGTTTATCATTATCTGCAGGTAGGAAGAACATTATGTTTTAGACTATCGTTAAGTATCATCATCATCATCATCATCATCATCATCATCATCATCATCATCATCATCATCATCATCATCATCGTCCTTATAATAATCATCATCATAATCATAATCATCATCGTCATCATCATCATCAACATTATCATCACTATCTTCTTCATCTTCTACTACTTCTTCTTCTACTTAATCTTCTTTGTCTTCTTCTTCTCTTTCCCCTCCTCCTCCTCCTCTTCTTCTTCTTCTTCTTCTTCTTCTTCTTCTTCTTCTTCTTCTTCTTCTTCTTCTTCTTCTTCTTCTTCTTCTTCTTCTTCTTCTTCTTCTTTTTCTTTTTCTTCTTTTTTTTCATCTTCTTCTTCCTCCTTCTCCTCTTCTTCTTTTACCTTGTGTCTCTCCATTGCAACATAAGCCCCAGCCAACTCGTGTCCTCATCCTATCCTTTACCATCATACAGCTCACTCATATCACTGCCATCTTTTAAAAAGAAATCCCGATCTCATTTTCTCTTACGTGGTTTAAAAGTCGTATTTCATGTCTATGGTCTTGCGCGTTCCAGTACAAGGACATTTTTAGTCTGTATTTTTGTATCGAGTCTTTATATTTAATATCCGTAACTACTACAACCCTTTTCCGAAAGTATAAACGGGTATCAAGATTACTTCTGCTTACGTTGACGTCCGAACTGTGGCTTATTCATCACAGTCGTGTCAAACCCTCTGGCAGCAGACGAAGAACAACATTGCACCGTATATACATACATATATATATATGTGTGTGTGTAAGTGCATATATGTATTTATATATATATATACACACAGTATTTTCACTGTATTATATGGTTTGGTCATCTCCTTAGGATGCAGTCACAACTTTAAACGCAGGCACTACATCTAAAATGGTGTGACACAAGAGCAAGAATAGACAATGGATTAATGACATGCTTACTTTGCGTCCTCCGCGTTCACCTATATAAGGGCAGTTGATTTATGTTTTGTAGCTATACAAGGTCCGACAATTAAGTAATCATACTGATTTTATTATGGCCAAGACATAATTGCCATCTATGAAGCAAAGCAAAGGCAACATTCATCTATGATCTGGCAACTTTTCATCGCCGCTAGGTAAGCAGACAACAAACAAGCCGCCATTTTGTTGACCTAGTCAGAGGTGCATTGTAACGTAATCAGTTTGGAGCAAAACGCTAACATTAAATTCTTTTTTAAAACTCATAAAAAGCGCATTTGAAACAGTTCAATTGGTGCAACAAGTTTATGGGGATTGTTTATCTCGTGCACAAATTTTCAGGTGGTAGTCGCGATTCAAAATTGATGGGAAAATGATTACTAATGCACCTTGACCTGGACGCCAAATTTCTGTTCGTAATGATAAAGTCATTGCAAAGGTCAGAGAATGGACACAAGAAAATCATTGTTTTACTGTGACGATGATGTCAAATGAAACTGGTGTTAATACAGAGACCATTCATAACATTTTAGTGCAAGATTTTGGCAAGAAAAAAGGTGCTTGCCGGTTTGTACCGCATTCGTTGTCTGATAACCAAAAACATCAACGGGTGTTTATCGCTTGTGTGATGTCCTAGTGGGGTAAAATGTACTACTACTAAAAATTATAATTTGTCGCCTTTTAAGACATGCAAGTTTGGGGGAAGTTGGCTCCCCCTCCCCTTTTTCCACCCCAGATGTGGCCCTAGATCTCACACGGGGACATTAATGATATTAAATTTAAACATCCTCATGGAATAACAATGGGCAGTCTTATTCAGCGAGCGCCGAACCGCAAGTTCTACCTAAATACGCCACTTAATGGCAAAAGTAGAAGTTGTTTATTATTATTATTACTATTATTATTATTATTACTATTATTATTATTATTATTATTATTATTATTATTATTATTATTATTATTATTATTATTCTTATCATCATCATCATCATCATTATTATTATTAGTACTATTTGCGGTAATTATGCTTTCAGTTTGCCAGCAACTGGGGCTGGCCCGGGAAACACAGAGCAGTAACATTGCAACTCAACCTGCATGTCAAAAGAGGTGCATAAGAATAGAAATAAACAAGACCGGGAACCCACGAAGTCGAAGATACACTAAAAAAATATACGAGAACTGACCGGCACTCATAGAAAGCAGTTCTTGCAAATTTGTTCATTAAAAGCAGTAAGCTTGGTTGATGAAACGAAATGAATTATAGACTAAATCTAACTGATTAACAAAGGGGGTTAAAGGTCTATTTCCTAATCGGAGTCAGGTTTGATGTTTGAGGTTTGAACAACGGATCAAGATCATGGCAAACGGGTGATAACCAATAAGTGCTCCGTCCTTTTTTCTATATCAAGTCTGAGTCCAAATAAGCTCAGCACAATGCACGGGCTCTCTAGCACGGGAGAGGATCCTGAAATACTTTGGGTAGATTTTTTACTCAAAATGTTTGCCCGGGCAGAGCTGTTTTGCTACTCTTTTCGATTTCCTACAGCCAGGGAATTTTTTTCACGTGCGCAACAATGCACGCAACAGGTGTCCGATCTCACTACCCAGAGACCAGGAGGAATTACTAGAAGTCCAGGTCCACGTGAAAAAATCCCAGCCCTTACTGGGGATTGAACCCAGAACCTCTAGCACACGAGGTGGACACCATGCCTCAAGACCACACAGCCTCTTAGTCAGAGTGAAAATATGAAGAATGAGAAGGAAGCTCAAGAAATAAACTACCCACATACATTCGACTACATATTTATTCTTAACCGCCGGGTTGGGCAGTTACAAGACAATTATCCAAACAAACATCATCATCATTCCATAACACTACTTGTCGTTAGGTCACCAGTTTCTTTTGATCAGCTGTGTCAACCTTTGCCGGTCAGTTGTGATGGACTTCATGGTTGCATGCATGAGGCCTGTCCAGTCAGTCAGGTTCTTCTTCTTCTTCTTTGCGTTCACCGGCTATAAAATCCGGCAGAAAGTTCTGGTTGTTCATCCACTTTTGGACTGCAGTCCTCCTATTTCAGAACCTGAGTGTTGCGTGTGCATCCATTTGACAGATCTGACTAATTTGTATGCAGACTGTTGGTTCCTTGCCTCTCAGGCAGATGCACTCCGACTTCGAAGGAAGCTCCCAATTTGTCGACTCTTACGACATGCTTTTGGGTTGGCAGTGGATCTATTCTTTTTTCCCCCTATAATAGGGCCCCGCAACCCATACGGGGAAGTCAGATTCTGTAACCGGGTCTTTCTTGGTCTGCCTCTTCTCCTCTTTCCCTCAAATGAGCCCTGCAGTTTTTTTTTTTTGAGAGGCTGTTAGATCTTATTACATGCCCATACTATTGCATTTGTAGTCTTTTTACTGCAGTTAAAAGATGTTGATAGTTGCCAAACATACACCCTATATAATTACCTTAAAATTGTTGTTTAACAGGGTGGCGTTTTCAGAGTGAAAGCAGGAACTCTGGGCTTCAGTGTGATGATATATTCTATCGTTGCTGTAATTGCCATCATCATACTTATATGCCGACGAACGTCTTCTGCCGTCGGAGCTGAGCTAGGAGGGCCTAAATGTATCAAAATTGTATGCAGCATAGTCTTTCTCCTGCTCTGGGTTGTATATATTCTTTTGTCTGCTTTGCAAGTTAAAGGATACATAAAAACGGGCCTTTTCTGATCAGTGTTCGTACTGTTGTTCATGGTCTGAAGAAATGTGTTTTGGAAAATATAATTATGCAGTAATATATACACGCACGAGCGCGCATGTACACTCACGACTTGACTCGAAATGAAAGCTTCAAAGGTGTGAGAGAAACTACAGTGATCATGCCAATGTCTTGTAACCTGTCAGTGTTGTTGTTAAGAATGTCATGTGATCGTGGTGCAGACTAACACGGTGACGTCATAATGACAGTTCAAAGATGTCCGCCCCACTTTTGGCATGCGCCAAACGAACAGCAGCGTTCTGTTTTCTGCTTTTATGATCGATGAAACTGATGTAAACTCATCGGCAAGTGAAGGTCTAGAATTGTAATGCAGTATGACTTGCCTTGTTGGGTTTCCATCCAAGATGAGATGTGTGTAGTCTCTAGAGCTGGCCAAATCCTCTATTGGCAACCTGAAAAGGGAAGCAGACAGGCTGTTCGCCATACAAGAGTGTCGGAAAAGTTTACCGTTTTTACATGCTGTATGTCAGACTGGGGGTCTGTGTCCTGGTGGTTCTTGTGATTGAGGGTTTAGGGCAGCACAGTTAGTACAGTAACCATAAACTATTAGGTCATCATCATCGCCATCATCATCATCATCATCATCATCATCATCATCATCATCATCATCCTGTAGCAAGTCCTTTTCAGAAAGTCGAAGTCATCACAGCCTGCGTGAAAGAAATCTGGGTCTCTCACCACTTTCCTGCTCACTCTTTCTCTTATGTTCTGTGCCACCTTTGTGCTGCTCGGCTTCTGCCTCTCTTACCCGACACCATCTTCTCCATCATTGATCTTTTTAAGCTACTGAGGCGATTGATGTGACCATTGTATTTCACTTTCAGAGACAACAGGCTGTTCACGAGCCAACTGTCCTCGGTGATCTTTCAACTGCAAATATTCTTCCTCCTGTTCATGTTCACTTGTAGTAAACTCCAGCACAAAGTTTTGGCTATTCGTCCACTTCTGGACTTTGGTCCGCTCCCAGAACTTGAGTTTCGCATGCACATCCATTCTGCACATTTGGATTATTTGTGTGCAGACTTTTGGTTCCTGGCCTCTCATGCATTTGCATGATCTTGGCTGCTAGGTTGACCAAGCCTGCAATGGATGTCAGGAAATGTTCTGGAAAGTAAAGGTGGCTGGTAGGATGTTGACCTCTTATATGCTAGCTGGTCTATAACAATATCGTTCTAGCGCTGTCTGCCAGAGGTGCCACTTCGTCTTCACGCTGCCCGGAAGTAAACTTCGATGGAGAAAATGTAGGTTGTTGGTCCATTTCTGGACGTAAGTTTTGCATGCACATTCGTTTTACACATATGGCTTATTTGCCTGTAAACTGTTGGTTTCTTGCCTGTCAGGGAAATGCACTCCAACTTCACAGGAAACATTTCTAATTAGTAGACTTTTACGTCACACATGCGAACGAGGAAGTGGGTCTTTTCTTCAGTTCACATAAAAAGCCTTTTTTTCTGAATCTTTATTATTATTTAATCTTTAAACTAGTCCAGTTTTTTTTTTTTTAATTTGATTTTTGTTGTTATTGTTGTTGATAGCTACTTTATCACTATTTTAACGGTAAATTAGACCGTCATGTACACGGTAATTTTGTAAATTTGTCTGTGCGATGAAATTGGATGAAGTAACTTAACGTCAGATGCAGTAAAGCAAAATATATATTGGGACAGCTAACTCCCCTTGTAACATAAGACAATGCGATCAGCACCAAAAACATCTCATTCAAAGCATATTCATCTCTGCAGCCCGTCTCTCTAGCGTAGCTGGCTAAACCGGACTGCACGGTGACCGGGTGACGAACTCCTTGTGGTCCAGGTTCACTCCCGGGTGTAGGCAGAAAAGCTAAATTTCTCCCAGATTTACTGTATTTATCATGGAATCAAGGTCTAAGGGTTAACAACTCATGGCTTCTGGATACTAAAAAAAAAATTGTCTCTGCTTAATGCTACTAGGGCCAGACATGCTCACTCACAACAAGCCATAAAAGAAAATTAGTAACTACAGGAGTGAGGTGTTCTAAGAAGTGCTGTAGGAGTGACCAGAAGAGATACAATCAGAACTGAGATCACCAGAGAAAAAAAAGTTGACATAGAACCAGTTCTAAATTACATACTAAGACAACAGATCCAATAGTTTGGCCACTTAGAATGCTTTGCGACGCCATACCTACGAGGTTAAATGTTGAATTAGGAATCGGCATTACAGCACTCGCGACACTCCCATAAGTGCTCGATCTCCATCTTCAGCAGTAAGCTAAGAGTTCCAAATCCGAAGGTACTAATAACCGTTTGTTTGTATATCCGTCTCATCCTTTTTTTCTGAGTGTTGAGCGTCAGCCAGATTCCCTGGTAACTCCTCGCAGCGCCATTGTCCTCAGACCGTAATAATCTATCTGCGCCTCCGCACTGTTTACCCGTTCCCAAAGGGCACCATACGAGGTATACACCAAAATAACAGTCGATATAGCACGAGATAGACCAAGATGCGGATATCTCCCTCGACAGCTAAAGCGGTAAAAGAGGAAGTGTAAAAGAATTTAAATAAAATGTAACTGTTGTTCAATCCCACCCGAACCGTACAACGGGCGACCAACACCCGATGACACAAAATGCCAATATTCAGATGAGAAACACCTGGACACAAGACACAGAAACCCCGTTCAACCTCCTAGGAGTTATATTAGGGCCCCCGATAACAGCTGGAGTGGGGCTTCAAAATAATGAAAAATGCCGTCCCACGGTGGGGCGCCTGTTATAACTTATATAAGATGGCTATAGGATGATTTTCTTTTCTTTTTTATTCTACTAAACTTTAAAAATTTTACATATGTTTATCATTCGTGAACATAGCAATATGTTACTGAATCTTAGTCTGATTTCTCTGCCTTTTATCTCTCCATTTTATTACGGAAGTAGGTAGTTATATACATAATTATTTTAAAACTACAGTTACCCAATAGTTATGTTTGTTTTGTTGTATCGGTGTGTTTGTGTGTTTATATGTGTGTGTGTGGGAGAGGGGTTGGTGGGGGTGGTGTGCGCACGCGCGTGTGTGTGCGCGTGTCTGTGTGTGTGTGTGAATTTCCCCACAAACTTTTTAGTTTAATTGATATGGCCTTGACTGCATTGTGCGGCTGCCAACTGTGTCAGTGTATCATAAAGCAATTTTATTGAAAAGAACATTGCCTTTTTTGTTAGACGATGCGAAACTGTTCTGTAATGCAAAACAGTTTCAGTGTGTGAAATAAAATCATGCCGACAATGTTCGTTTGAATTGTTCATTTCCATTTAATAATGTTTTCAGTAGTCTATCACATAATCATTCTAATAATCTTTGTACTTTAATTATTAGTTGCATAACTAAAATGATTCCAAACGTTTCTTGGTTGGGTTTTTGACATCACTTAAATTGCATTGGTATTTTAAATGTTGCATGTGATTAGACCATTTGATATTTAATTATTATGATGTTCACTATTTTGTTTATTGTTGAATATTTCAAAATTAACAATGTTAAACTAAATTTTCATTTACCTTCACCACTCAAGACTTAACAATATACTGTTTAATATTTGTTTATTGTTGAATATTTCATTATTAATAATGGCAATTTCTTATGCTTTTGTACTTAAAACAACTTGTAAATAAAATGATAAGATTTAATATATTTTCTTCGTTTATTGTTTATGGGGAATCTTAAAGACCACTTGTGATGTCAATAATGTAATGTGAAAACAATTTTTTTTTTAAACTGCTAACACATAATTGCATATTTGTTATTTTAATGTTGCTTGCAATTTACCCGCTTCTCATGTACCTGATGTTTCGCATTTGTTTATTTCTGAATGTTACACAATTAACAATGACCATTTTAATATGAATATATCTAGACCTCTTTAGATTATAATTATATGATGTTTAATGTTATATGTTACTGAACATTACCTAATTAACAATGGCAGTGTTAATGATGCATGTACTTAGACAACATTTCGTTAAAATAATGTGATGTATAAAATTCGTTTATTAGTAATTTTAAAAATGCATAGCCTCAAATGACTGATTGAATAGATATGATGCATAATATTTGTTTATTATATTATTACTAACAAATCAACGACATTTTTCGTTTCAATGGAAAATGTCTGATGCAATTGATATGAAGTTTAATCTGTGTATGTTTTGAACATTACACAGTTAACAGGGGCAGTTTTATCAGGGCATGTAAATAGACTACTTCTGACTGATGAATAAATAATTTGTGAGTTACACCGAGGAGAAGATGTCGAGGTCGACCTTTTCTAATCTATAAAGATGTGTGCAGTATGACATGAATGATACAGGTATTGAGGTAAATTCAGTGGAGAAGGATGGCATCGACCATGTTGCATGGAGGGAGATTAAAGAAAAGGAAATGCGGATAATGGAAAAAATGACATGAATGATACAGGTATTGAGGTAGTTTCGGTGGAGAAGGATGGCATCAACCATGTTACATGGAAGGGGATGAAAGAGATGGAAATGTGGATAATGGAAACAAGGACTGCAGTTAGGTTAAGATCATAATGTCTTAGGAAAAGAACTTTACATGTATACGGTGGTAACAATATTCCTGAAATCCTATACACCTATTGTAGAAGACTCAACGCGGGCTAGTTCATCAAATCACACTTACCTGTGATTCCCGTGCCTCACTGTCAGCACACTTGAAAATATCTCTATCTCCAGCCAGTTCTCCAGCCCTGTGTGCTTTCAATACCAATGAATCACCAATGTCCTGTATCCACATTCACGGAGGTCGGCAAAGTTTAAAACTATCCTCAGGATATGAACGTCCTCAGACGAAAGAGATCGAAATAATATTATGTGTAACATACCTTTATTGTTTTAATGCCGCCATTGAATTTATATTGATAACTGGATATCTACCGTTGGTTATATATTGATATAATATG